TCTCGCGCTCCTGTTCCTGTTGCTTTTGAATCTCGCTCCACGTTTCTTTAATATCTACACTGCTCAGATTCAAGCCATCGATAGCGCTAACAATTGCGTGTTTCTTCATCCCCGCATCTACTTTTGCTCCCAGCTCCTCCCCCAGAATCAGGAGCGAGCTGATTCTTCAACAAACGCTTCCAATTCATGACAGAGAACTAGTGTGGTGCAGCTCCTCTCTACCCAGAAGTTCCGTAAACAACTGCTTCTGTGGTAGCCTCTACCAGCGAAAAGATTCCACTTCTATCTTATCAGCCTGTCACCCAAAAAACCAAAGCCAGCACTCACCAGTCCACAGCTGCCAGTCTCCATGATCTTGGCGTGTTGTTCATTCTCCGTCCTCCAGGCTCACATCCAACCACTTGCCATCCAGTTGTTACGGGTCGGAAGAGGAAGGTCGCCGATGGCATCCCACCGCTGCCACCAGTTGTCGCGCGTCGGAAGGAAGGTCGCTGATGGCATCCCACCACTGCCACCAGTTGTTGCGCGTCGCGGCGACCGCAGTCTGCGGGTAGCGGGGCCGATCGCCGTCGCTCCGTCGAGCCAAGGACTAGGGGAGAGCTTTGAGCAGGCTTAACGGATTTATTTACATCTTTACAGTGAGTTGTCGAGATGACAGAAGAGAAGAGAAGAACTAGTGGTTTCACAAACCACGAGCGTGGTGGTTGAACTTTACATAGTTCAGAGCGACGTCCAGCACTCTGCGGCGTCGTTTTATGCCCCGTCAGGCTACTCCTCTCCGAGTCGAACACCAATCACGCACACACAGGTGAGGGGGGCGAGCATGCATGGTCCACGTGAACACTGCACTGTGGTGGCGCCAGCCTCTGCCTCGTCGTGTGTGTGCCGTTAGTCGAGAGTTCCCACGATTCTGGCCGCATACTTCAAAGGGTCCACCGCACAGCTCGCCCAATTTGGTGGGGCGATCTGCGGTTTCCGTCGTGGTCTCCCTCAGGAAGACGCCGTCCCTGTTGTCCTCTCTGTGGCGTCGCGGCGACACGACGTCTCATCCTCCGGCCAGCAGGGACAATGTCTGGCGGGCATAGATAGTCGGCCGGTCGGCTACTTGACTGCGGATTAAAGAAGCGCCGCTCCGCCGTCAGCTCTGGCGCCGGTCACGCCAGCTTCTCCATTGCCCGATGAGTTGCCGTGTCCATTAGTCACCGCTTCTGCTTGAAGGGACGACAAAAGGGTCCACATTTGAAGGACGGGAACTCGCCTTTGCTTGCTGCTTGGTGTGGACAATGGCTCAAATCTTCAACAGCGTCTGTCAGACTGGGCGCCGAAGGGATTGAGAGCCCTTCTATAGGCCAAACTTAACAAGGTTAACGCGCTAACGATGCGTGGCCCAGGCGGGCGATAGAGCGGCGGCTCCAAAGCCCTCTTTGGCAACATTCCACACAGTTGGCGCCGCTGTCAATCAGTGGGCGCCGTCTCGTCGAGTCGGCCGCTGTTGCTTCCTCCGCCCAGCCGTGGCGAGACTGTCCTTTTGGCCCTAATCCGGCGTGGCGAATGACCCGCTGGGTCAAGGCATAACTTGATCGCTACAATATATATATATATATATATATATATATATATATATATATATATATATATATATATATATGTGTGTGTGTGTGTGTGTGTGTGTGTGTGTGTGTGTGTGTGTGTGTGTGTGTGTGTGTGTGTGTGTGTGTGTGTGTGTGTGTGTGTGTGTGTGTGTGGAGAGAGAGAGAGAAAGAGGCATAACAGACTCTGCACTACTACCTCTCCCTGAAAAGCATTATTTGTTGGGTGGCCCCGTCATGACCCCTTTAACGTGCACTAACTCTCCACACTCGAGCCTTTGGTACTTCGTTTCCATCAAATTACCACCACGACCAGTACCAAAGCCGCGCCTTTCGTGTCAGCAGCTGAGCACCGCGCATATAAGCCCAAGCCCTAAGCCATTGCGGCGGTTGCAAATGTAAAAACAACTGCAGAGACTTCCCAATGTGGCTGTGCTCCTAGCAAACGATTCACATCTCAAAAGAGCGGAGTTACCTGTGAGGAAAACAATATTCAACGCTGCTTAGCAACAAAATAGATCACACGAAAAAACAATGATGATTGATGATTGATTTGTGGGGGTTAACGTTCCAAAACCACCATATGATTATCAGAGACGACGTTGTGGAGGGCTCCGGAAATTTCCACCACCTGAGGTTCTTTAACGTGCACCCAAATCTGAGCACACCGGCCTACAGCATTTCCGCCTCCATCGGAAATGCAGCCAACGCAGCCGGGATTCGATCCCGCGACTGAGCGGCCGAGTACCTTAGCCACTAGACCACCGCGGCAGTGCGGAAGAACAATGTTGCAACGAAGCATCAAATGAGTGCAAGGGAAAGCTTGTTATGCCCTCTGGACATCATTTTCATAATTATTCACTCTTATCAATGACTATTTATCATTGGTTATTATTAACTCATTGTCTATTGAACATTATAGAACACGTAAATTGGCATATGGAGGTATTATCATCCTTTTATTTTTCCTCCACTTAACCAGGGCCAGCAGTAGTGTATGCACAAGGGATCTCATGTGGGCTAGTTATTTCATTAACGTTATCGTATGTGTAGTACATGCAATATATGCTTAGACTCTCTTCGAAATTATTCGTACAATAAAATAAGTGCTTAACGACAAACCCGCAATGCATTAAAAATCGGTCAGGTGCATCTTGAAATGGGAGATCGAATGAGCCGCTAGCAGCAGCAGTTCAATCAAACAATTGATCGTGAGTTCCGTTTCTGCAGAAAACAATTACCCCACTGAGCTCAACAGATTGTCGCGATACGTTTGAAGGAACTGCCAGCACTCCCGATAACAGCACTCCGTGAAGGAAGCACTCCTCAGTGTAATTTCCTACGAGTTCCTTCTTTGTAGCCTTCCTTATGTATGAATTTTTTTTTTCAAGAAATTAAGTTCGTCTTTGAAGAAATTTAAAGATATGTTATCGAGCAGTGCCACAGGAATTCCCTTTTCAAAGGAACTTCTTGGTTAAGGTAAAATTTGATTTACAACGTAAATGCATTACTAGCGTGCTGATGCATATTATGGAAAGAGAAAACTGAAGATGGCGACAGTGAATTGCGCCAGTAAACGGAATATTCAGCGCGTGCGCGATGATTGCCAATGTTTTTAGCTCATCAATTTCAAGGATCTGTGTCCACTTGGCGATATACATTTCGCGCCATAAAACAATAATTCACCTGAATGCCCTTTGCTTTGTAAGTTCATGGCGCGCACTCGCAACTTAAGTTACAAAGGGCTCCATTCTTCAGCTGTGGTTTCAACATTATGCATATAAATAGTTGTATGTGCAATGCAACACTTTTCGTTTTCTCGAGAGATGTGATTTCAGCGTGTGATTGTTTGGTGGCATGATTGAAACACTGGGGCTCGCGCCCCTTTTGAAGGATTGGCCAGGAATTTCGTGGTTTTATATCTTTATTTAGGCCTTGAGAATAGGGTAACTTGTAGAATATAGTAATGAAGAATTACAGATGAAAATATTGTGCTTCATAAGATGCGAAAATTCTATTCATAACAAAAATTTTATTACGAATAAAAAGTACTAACATTTCAATCCAGATAAGCGTACATACACACTAAATTGAGAGCAGCCTGTTTGGCTGTGTAACCAATTCGTTTCACTTAAATAATAGCACACTGCCAAGCAAACTTCCGCATAGCAAAACCCAGAATTGGAGGTTCCAAAAAAAACAGAATTACAGGCACCGACGAATGTGTATCAATAGCTGGCAAAAACTCTTGGATCGTTTTGCCTCGTTGTAGTAAATCACCAATGTATTCATGCCTGTTCCTCTTTGTCGTCTTTTTTTTTGCATGTTATATGTGTTTTATATGTGCCAGACGATTACTAGAGGAATTGTTAAAGGATGTAAAAGGAGGCTTCACTTGAAAAACATTTACTAAAATTATTGCCGCGGTATTCACGCATATCTCAAAACAGCGTGTTCCCGCCACGGCCATCTATAGGGGTGGTTACAGTACTCAAATGCTTACCGAAAGGTCGCGGTATCGAGTCCCGGTTCCAAAGGCTGCATTCCAATGAAGGCGATATACTGGAGGATTGTGTATTTGGATTTGGTTACATGCTAAATAACTCCAGATAGAAAGTTTTCCGGGGCCTTCACTGCGAGGTTCCTCATAATCGTATCGTGGTTTTGGGACGTACGTACTCAACTACTATTATGCATATAATAAAACAGCGTGGTTTCAATGAAAACAAAAAGTTCCGCGCACCTGTAGTCGCGTTGTAATTGGTCAACTAGCGAGATCAAGGAAGGAGGGAAAGATAGGAGGAAAAGAACGACAGGGAGGTTAACCAGCCTATAGGCAGCCGGTTTGCTACCCTGTACACGGGAGAGGGATGGGGGAGATGAAATATAGAGAGCACAGAGGGAAGAGAGATAAACACAGCACATTCGGCAGCACACGCGCGCACAATCACTCATAGTCCAGTCTTGTCTTGTCTTTCGTGGTGTGTGACACTGCTGTTACAGCCGCTTGTTCAAGTCGAGATCAAGAAGTGCAATTACGCTTTTGTGCCTCTTCTTTCAATGCGTGCAATATTTAGCTCCGTTTGTAAACAGCTTGGGTATATATATTACTGCGGTATACCATTGTTACGACATAACGCGCGTGACGTCACGTAGGCGCAAGCACGCGCGTGGGGCTCTGACAACCAGCGTAGCGTAACGAAGCATCGCCCCCCCCCCCCCCCAAAACCCGGTAATAGATTACGACGATATCGGCTTATCGCTCTCCCATTCGAATCGTGCACCCTTTCCCTATCTCTTCTTTGTGTCGCAACCAAATCACGAACGCTCTCTTTTGTCCGTCGTGATGATTTCGGCGCACACGCTATTCGTACGTGTTTCCACACGCGGGCCCCGCGCCGCCGGCAGCAAACCACCGCGCTCGTGGACCCCGCCGCCGTGTTGGCGACAGCAAGTGGCGTGCCGTCTAGTCGCGTTTTTTTCGTGGGTGACTGCGGACCATGTCGAACTCCGGGCCATGCACCACAAGCGCTGAGCAAGAGCTCGGTGTCATCGGTCAAACTATGACACGCCGCAAGTACGACCTGGACAGGCCTTCGGAAACCTTTCAGCTTGACACCTTCGTCGGAAGCCCGGAAATTATGGTCTGTACGCCTTTTCGATGTCCCGTTTTGTTCAATATGGCTCCGTGACGAGGATTCCGCGAGATGGAATGCTGTGCCGTTCGTAATTGTCTAGTCGCTGTTGCGGTCCGCCTTGGCAGTGGTGTTCACGGTGCTTTCTATACGAAAGACACGCTCGTCTAAACTTTGTTTTCTACAGAAGACACGCTTGTGTAAACTTATCGCCATACCAATTCAAGCTTGGCCGTGCAACTGTGATAACTTACCATGGTGAACCAGCAGCGACTCAAAATTTCAGTAACGAATCTTTAGTAGCGATAAAAAAAAAAGAACATGAACGTGCCACGCAATTCAATCTAGATGTAATCGCTTTGGTGAGCATACTACCAATTTTGGGGTATGAACGACAACACGATACGTTGCATTTCCGATGGAGGCGGTAATGTTGTAGGCCCGTGTGCTCAGATTTGGGTGCGTGTTAAAAAACCCCAGGTAGTCGAAATTTCCGGAGTGCTCCACTATGGCGTCTCTCATAATCATGTGGTAATTTTGGGACCTTAAACACCACATATCAATCAATCACCAATCAACGACAACACGAAAACCGGCGCCAACTATAATCAATCAAAATGGTGATGAACAAAAGAGGGCTGGCTTGCGAGAGACAAAAAAGTGCTGGCCTGCGAGCTTTCAGAATCCTAAATTGCGCCGAAAACGTTGTTTTGGTGGTTTTTTTTTTGGTAACTGCAGAGCAAGTTCATTTATGAACGTTGATAGCTTGTCATACTTGAGATATTTTTAGTACGAGCGGATTTTGACAACGTCACTTCTCGTTCATTTGTATAATCCTATGCATAAGCAAGTCGTGGCACAAAAACATTCGCGATGACGTTAGCTGGGTAACATTCTGTTTTGTTTCCGGCCCGAAAAGTTGAAGACAACGTGGTAGGCGTTATTAGATGTGCGTGGGGCGAACAGTAACAGCAGTTGGGGTGTGCTGCTTTCGCAAGCCACACTGGGTGACTTTTTTTTTTCATTTCACATTGTGTCTTGGCATCTATGCGCACTAATGCAATATCACTAATAATTTTGCTTTTCATTGAGTCTATTAATATTATTAACGGCAGATGGCCTTACACTGATTTTTGTCAATTGACAAGTCTTTTTCTTTTATTCTATGTAACTTGTTTGGACGCCATTAGGACCCCTCTAAGTGCGTCGTATGTGGTTAGTACCACATCAGTCTCACCTAGTTATCAAAACTTGCTTACAAAAAAGTTTCGCTTATTGAGATGTAGCAGATAAAACTCTGAATCTGGGGAACAGTGTTTCAGTTATTTTGCACTCGGCTATTTATACGCGGCAGCATTCCACTTATTTAGTATCTAGGTCACATTTCCCGTAAATTCATTTAGTTATATACGTAGCCCTGTTCCGTACACAATTTTCAATGGCGTTTCGAATATATTTACTGGAAATTTACCCATATACTGGATCACGTAGGCATGCACGTCAACCAAATGCTAAGCATGACAGCGCAGTGTAAACGTTACGGTCTTTACTGCGGTCGTTTTCATGACTTCCCAAATGATTTCATTCGTGCTACTCAGCACTCTCTTATAGATCACGGCTATTTCCGGATTCAGCAAAAAGTTTACACTGCCATTCCTAGGTGCAATGGATGTATGAATGACTTACTTCCTTGTTATCTTGGGGCATCAATTTATGCACACCATGGATAGCTTCACCCATGTGTCTGGCATAACTAAGCCGATATGATACTTACATCAGACAGGTCAGCATTAAAGTTTCCTACATATTTGCTCCATACCTAGAGTTGACAACTGGGCGGTTATTTTTCGGTATGAAATAATAAAATTGAAAACAGTTCTTTTACTGCAATGTTGCGCAGGTACTTGCGTATTTACAGTCAACGAAAACACGCCTGCGCAAGTATTTTACTTCTTTCAGCAAGACAAATACGAAGGGGAGGAGGAAGCAACAAAAGGGAGAAGGCAGGGAGGTTAACCAGAAAGACATCCGGTTGGCTACCCTACACTGGGGGATTAAGGAAGGGGACAAGAAAGACGAGAAAGAGGGAAGAGAGGGGAAAAAGTGGGTGGGAGAGAGACTGACAGTAATTTCACTTCAGCGTGTTGAACTCTACCGCATGTCAGAGGCGTTCACACAAGCCTGTCTTTCTCAGGAAACGCAGCAGGGCTTTCACTGCCTTGTGGGCTGTCGAGGCATGTGTACGTTGCTGTAATAGCACCTGCACAGAAAGAGGCCGATCATCCAGTCGCCGCATTGCGTTGGCAAGTACTTGTCTCTCTGAGGCAAATCGAGGACAATGACACAGTAGGTGTTCGATATTTTCGTCGGTGCCGCAAACATCGCACGCCGCGCTGTCAGTAATTCTGATTAACGTGGTATAAGCTTTCGTGAAAGCAACTCCCAGCCAAAGGCGATAGAGAAGCGAAGCTTCACGTCGATGTTGGCCGGGTGTAGACAAATACGAAAATGCTCGGTAAACCTAATTAGTATTTTTTTTGCGTGGTAGAAGCCACGCGTTGCGGTTCTGTAGCTTCAGCAATATACTACTAAGGGAAGTTGTCACCGAGTATAGTTCATACGTACTCTGGAAAGACTTCCGTGGCGAGCCTGCCGTGCAAGAAACGCTTTTGAAGGTCATCCTGAATTGTACCATGGCAGTGACCGTTATTGTACTTACTCTCACGTGAATTATCCGTAAATATGATTGATGTTATTCATTTGAATTGTTGTAAAAAAGCAGTGTTTCACACGGTATATGTACGTGAACCAAGCCTGCAACTACGCATATCTAGCTGCTATAGTGTCATTTCTGTTGCGAGCGTTTGATCAAGTCCGAGATCTCTCGGCGCAATCTAAATAACAGGCCTACGTGGCGCAAATGTTATGCTGATGATATACGCTTACGTATTCATGTAGCTTACTAATGCGTGCCCACATTCTCGTCATTTCGTCGTGGCTGCATCTTCAAGCTACGCAACAATGACAGAGCTGACAGCCAGCCAGGAGAATGGCACAAAACATGCAAGAACTAACAATTTAACCGCTATACAATTCGTAACTAGTGTAAACACTCCTCATTTACCTATTAAAAGTGACCACACTGACCGCAAGCTCAAAAGTCCGAGGCGTCAAAGGAAAGCTCGTTAACGGTGGTCCCAGAGTCTCCGCAATAATCTACAAGTACAAACAAAGCTGCGAAAAACCACCCAAGTTTTTCGGCAAATAAAATGGCGTACGCTGTCGGTGGACATTCAACCTAATGAAGCGCACTAGTTAATGATACCCCGTAAACGCCGTAACAGTCCATCAGTAATGATTTGTGGTTGAGAGCCCACAAACATGCTTTTCTTTTTGCGCAGAAAGTTACACTCCAGAGACACACGGCAGCTCTCTAGTCATCATGTCACGAGCGCCAGTTTCGTGTGCCGTGTTCTGTTGCATCTGTATAGTTTCGTATTCGAAAGGATTCGTGGGAAGGACCTCTTCGATTAAAGGCTGGTCTGACGCGCGTAAGTTGTATATCCGAAACATGACACGCACATACGGCGTCGCTTCGAAGTTGTAGGTGGAACAACGCGCAAAAGACTCCATATGGTAACAGGAATAAATCACCGGTTTCTGTTACGTATGTCAAGTTACAGGTAACGAAACAAAAGCTAAAAGAAACTGCTGCTGTAACGGGTAAGGCTTGCGAATCAACACGGGTTTACATAAAGTTCCAGCATGTTGCGTTAAAATTGAATTTATATTCCATTTTATATTGAACTTGTGTGGAACAAAATTAAGACGGCAGGTTTGATCTATAAAACATATGCTAGTTATTTGGCACCAACGTATAGAGGCCTATATGCCGAACTCTAAATAGCAAAACGGCCATGACTTGGGTCTCAATCAACATTCTAAGCTTGTGTATGCACCTTTTACGTAATAGGTCACACTTACAAATAAAAAACAAAGGCTTCCAAGACAACAGTGCGCAGCATTAGACATAAGCAAGTTACTTTTCTCTCCGCTCTCACTTTTTTTTACATTGGGGTATAGTCGCAGTCAAATTTGTGTGTTGTTCAATCGGGTTTCCGGTCGAAATTTCGCCAATGTGGGGCTCCCAAAATTTATGGGCAAAACTATTTGTTGCAAACAATCAATTTCCTTTTGCGACGAGACATGAGACAATCAGTTCGCTAAATCAATTTCGCAATTTTTTATAAGGTGTGCATCTTCACTGGCTCGCAGTTTCATGCATGATTCTTTCACATATATGTTGCAAGTCTTCCGGATTTTTTTAGGCACAGTTTGCAAAAAAATTAAGGAGCATTTGCCCTGTAGAGAAAATGCGCGCAAGCGAAGCTATGAGTACGTACGCCTGACGTTTCTTTCTCTCTTTCTTTCTTGCTTTCTTTCTATTTATTTATTTCATAGCTCTACGCACCCTCCTAAATGTTTCCTTTTCGCGTGCCAGGGAGTGCTTAACAACGCAACACCTACGTAGTTACAGGCAACACTGACGGGCATGCGCTCATATTCAGGCAGCAATAAAACGTGACAACGCGAAATCGCAAGCCACCTCGACAAAATATCAGATTACCGTGTTTGGAACGGATCGTCCCCAACAAGAGATCCCAATCAAGAAAGCATCAGTTGCTGGAAAACGGAACACACGTCACACTTATAGCACCGACACCTTTCTTGCTTGTTTTCAAAACTCAACCCCAGTTCAGTGATCTTCGATGCGGATGTTCTGATGTTCCTTACGTTCGCCTTCGCTCACCGCCTCTGTTTTTTCTTGACCATGGCAGGCTTACCGAAAACAGCTGCAAAGGGCGCGTTCCTGCAGCCTGCGTGCCAATGGCGGAGCTGAAAAAGCAGCGACGGTGATCACTTGTCTCGAGCGCTGTTCGTCCGAACCCTGTTCATCGATCCCCAACGCTCGACAGCAGCGTCAGCGAAGGAGAGTACAGAGCCGCTCATTCTCTATGGACCTGAGCCGAAGACAGAACGAGGAAATGTTGTGGTCAGTACAAGAGGTCACCTATTGGAACTGAAGTTCATTCAGTGCTTACTCGTGTAGTTGTACATTACTGAATATCAGTGGTACTTACCACCGGGTCAGGAACCTGGACGCTTCCGAAAAGTGTCAGATTAAACCAAGGTCAACGCAGCCAGCCATGGAAAGAAAAATGATATGTGTAACCTTAAGAAACAATCACAAAGCGAAGTGGGTCAGGAAACAAACGGGCGTTAAGGATAGTATGTAAATCGGGACGGCAAGCTGGGAGAGTTGGTAGTTAAATATAGTTTCTGTGGACGGCGCGACCAGGTCTGTACGTTCCTTTTAGTTCTCAGTGCGGGTTGCGCTTCCCACAGCAAAATTATGGGTAAGGATATATTAGTCGGCAACAAGATGCTATGATCAGGGCGTCTAGCACGCAGATAAGATAATCGTTGTTCATCAACAGTGACAGACTGGAGAAGGTAAGTGCGCGACAGGGCAAGCCGAAGGTTGGATGAGATTAAGCAGAGAACCAGGCTAATCAGTGAAACTTGGGAGCAGTCATCGTCTGGAAGGAGAATATTCAGGCTAATGGTGCAAGAACGACTGAGTTATTGGTGTGCAAGAACGACTGAGTTATTGAATGGAAAACTCTGGTTTTATGACAGCGTGTGAAAGCAATGCTGGAATCTTATGTGCATAGAATCAGGCATGTCATACCTCTGCATACGAATGGTTCCTCATTTATTTTGTGCACCTATAACGCAAGAGTATTCGAGTGACCAAGGCAATTGTATTTTTTTACCAACCACCATTTCCTTCACTTGAGATTAGAGTGTAGCGTTTACAGCAGCCGATACACACTAGTCGGCACTAATGTAGGGTATCTTTAAACTAAGCACAAATTAAAACACGTATTTATCTGTAAGTATGCACATAAGTGCACTTAAATTAGCTTCCGAAAGTGAGTTGCGAGAGAGTGGAAGGGAGAAACTTTATTAACATGAGAAGTGGCCACAGAGCCCTTCCAAACGTGCCTGGACGTTGGCAGATTCCTCAGTCCAGTTCACCATGAACCTCCCGGAGTGCTCTCCTGACCAGAAATACGTATACCTAGCCGCGGGAGTTCACACTAGACAGCAAGACTATTTTGTCACTGTAGCACAATATTGCAGCATCATTGTATTGCATCTTAACACATAAGAAAAGGGACGATAAGTACTTGAAGAATTACAGGCCGATCCGCTTGCCCTCCGTAGTACACAAGTTATATATAAAGGTAATTGCTAACAGAATTAAGACATTAGGATTCAATCAACCAAAGGAACAAGCAGGATTTCAAACAGCCTACTGAACAATCGACCACATTCATACTGTCAATCAGGTAATAGAGAAATGCTCAGAATACAGCCAATGACTGCAGATAGTCTTCATAGATTATGAAAAGGCATATTATTCAGTAGAGATATCAGCAGTCATGCAGACACTGTGGAATCAGGGCGTCGATGAAGCATATATAAACATCCTGGAAGAAATCTATAGGGTATCTACTGCTACCATAGAGCTTCATAAAGAAAGCAACAGAATATCAATCAAGAGCGGTGTAACGCCGGAGAATACAATCTCCCCAATGCTATTTACCACGCGCTTACAGGAGGTTTTTAGAGGCCTACAACGGGAACAGTTAGGCATAAAAGTTAATTGAAGATACCTTAGTAACGAGCACTTCGCCGATGACATTGCATTGCCGAGTAATCCAGGGGACGAATCACAACTCATGGTTACTGAATTAGACAAAAAGAGCAGAAAGGCAGGTCTTAAAGTTAATGTGCAAAAAACTAGAGCAATGTTCAAGTGCACTACTACCTATCTCGAAGCGCTGTTCTTTTCCGAGGTTACAACAATCTCGGAAAAGAACAGCTAAAAAGAAACAGGAAAAGAACAGTTTAAAAGAGTACGTCTACTTAGAACAGGTGTACCCTTAAGAGACAAGGAGAGAGTAGAGTGGATCAGGGAACAAGCCAGGGTTATTGATATCATAATTGAAATCAAGAAGAAGAAATGGACATGGGCCGGACACGTATAGGCAGATTAACCACTGTCATTAATGGTAACTGACTGGATTTCCAGAGAAGGCTAGCGAGTTAGGAGAAGACATAAAGGTAGGTAGACAATGAGATTAGAAAGTTTGTGGGTATAGAGTGGCAACAGTAAGCACAGGACCGAGTTGAGTGGCGAAACATGGGAGAAGCCTTTGTCCTGCAGTAAGCGTAGTCAGACTGTTGATGATGATGTTTTTGACGATGGTGACTTCCGTATTGTCCAGTGCTTTATTAATCTCACGAATCGGACCTGCCTTAATTGAGCGCAGCTTGGCCTGTTCCATTTTCACAGCTGTAAAACGCAACTGTCTTCGAAACAATTCATGAGCATTTTGAACCAGGACAAATGGTACTATAATACAGCATCAATTATTACCGCTGTCGCCAATAAAGCGTTATCGACTGCGGGCACCTTCTTCCCGCTTCTACATTTCTTTGTCATGATCTGTATAAAGCAATTATCGTTACGATACAGTGGTTATTTTTTGCGCTTCTCCCAAATATGTTTAAGTTGCAATATAAAAGTTCTCCTTTAATAAACATGAGGCTTCCTGGTTATGGTAGAAGTAGCCCCTTGTACTGAAGAAATCAATCAAATTTTATTTTCTCCGAAGCGAAACACTGTTTCAGCCTAATAATGAGGCCAATTATCCAGCTTAACTGAAACGCACAGCTTGACAGCAACGCACCTTGAGTTAAACAGTACTAAAGTGAGTCCATATCAGGGGGCTGACGTACTTCTACATTCCGATTATTCAAGAAAAACAAGCTGGGTGTGCACGTTGGCGCCAAGGTACGATTGCGCAGAATGTCGAAGCATAATTACGCGCTTGTGATATCGTGTTTCTGTTCATAAATGCACACTCTGCAACTACGAGAACAAAGGTGGATAAATACGGGGAAACCTCTGAGCTGCTGCCGTTATCGGAGCCGGGCGTTTGTTTCCGTGTGCTATCAGCCACAATTGAATCAATCTTTGCAATACCGAGCCGGACGAACGTCGCGTTGCTCGCACTCTTGCGCACAGCACTGTGTCAAGGCGACTCGAAGTGTGATGGGTGTTTCTTCCAACGGGATGCGTAGCCCTCGCAACGCTGTTTATGTGGTTCGCAGGAGCAACTTGGCTTCCCTGTTGAGTTACATCTACGCCACCCTGATCGTGGTCCTCGGAGGAGTGATGACTGTTGTCCAGCCATCGGTCACCATTGGCCGACACACGATTGAGCTCGATGATGTAAGTGTCCAAGTTTCTTCTCTTTTTTTTTTTCCTCCCGTCTAGTTGATAATGGGACACTATCCGGGGTTTTTTCAGGGGCAGCGTAGTGAAGTGTCATATCTGATGCGCAAGGTAAATTGACTAGCGTCCGTGTTTCCCTTAGGAAGGCCACTTTATCTTTGCAGTTTGTTTACCCAAGTGTCGTGCGTCGAAAGAGAAAAACACAGCAGCGTCCAGAACCCAACCAAGTGCAACCTATGTTCAAGGATTGCAGGCTATTGCATTACTTGAGCCAACAGAAGTGATTAGCTGCACGTGTGCAATGTGAAGCAAGGCAAGCCTGCGTGCTTTTATGGTTACGCGTTTCGCTACCTCTAGTGTACGTTAAGCCATTATTCCTTGGTTACCCGAGGTGTTCCGCCTCATAAATGGGGGCTATATTTCTTGCGAGCCTTTTATTCAAAGCATTTTTGGTCGTGAAAGCAAAATAAGACCTCAGGTTCTCAGCGTCTCGTTTTCAATGGCATTTCGTGTCACGTTTCATAGCAGAGGGCTGGGCATGTTCTTTATATTACAAAATAGCGATTTAGCGGCCAGCGCTATTCTTTTCTAGCAGGCAATTCAAGTCGTTGGATCCAGCGACACCATTAGTTTGAGCATTGTTCGTCTCTTCGGGTTTCCACGTTCACCTAAACTTTTGTTTTTCGTGGTATTCAGTAAACCGTTTTTGTTCGCAAATACACCGTCGCAACGTAGAACGAAGTTGGCGATTTTTTCTTTTTTAGCAACATTTGTACCTACCGACATTCACGAGACACATTAAAACATATGTGTTCAAAAAACGAGCTTAAAAGGAGAAGTATACCGCTCGACTAACAGCGAAATTTCTATTTTTATTAGATATCATTCAGGTGTAAGCAGAATGCACTTGATTAGCATTAGCTATATACGTTACACAATCGGATATTGTGTGATTTGGCACTATCTTCCTCATAAATTTGTTCGTTGAAGGAAACAGATTTAAATATAGGTTTCGTCTAAAGTTTTAGCGCTCTACCAAAGTGTCTCGCACAAACGATGTGGCCCCGTTTTCGGGTTGACCTCATCGTCAACGTTTTTTGTGCGTTTATAGCTGTTTCACTGCTCTTCTTGCTTGCAGCGTAGTTATGAATGTCTGAAAGAGTTCGTATAACACCTCGGCGTTGGGTTGACTCCAAGTTTTAGCGTCACTTCTCATTCTAGCGCTACTTCTGAGGTTTTTCTATGAGGGGGTATGATAGGGTAGATCAATTTCATAACTAAAAAATAATACACACATGGTCAAGGAAAAACGTGCATTGGCAAGTGTGTAGGAGCGCTCAAAACCCTTTAAAAATGGCACCAAAGAATGAATGCCTAATCTAACGGATACCCGAGCTCATTTCAATCATTTTTTCTGCTTGTACGCATATGTGTACTGAGTATGACTAGATCAGTTGAACATATTCCCTTGTACCTTTCTCATTTTTTGTTATCGCGAATTTCTACCATTTTTTTGCGTGAATAATGTTCGTTGGGAGCACGTTGGAGAACTCTTGTCCAACGTGTTTTTAAACATAAAAATTTTTTCCTGCAATCAGTTTTTTTTAATTTCCTAAACTTGTAGTACTTTTTCTGGACAACTATCCAACTGATTGCGCTCACATTTTCGCAGATTACGCCTAAATGTCTTCCAAATAGTCTTAATTTGAAATATTGAAAAACTGTTTGTCATAACAAACAAAAAAAGATTAATGGGTAAGTCTCCTTCATGACACGTGACAAGTGAAAGGAATATTCTTTATCTATAGTGAAATCACTGTAGGCGCCAGCTTTTATAGCGACTGACCCGCAGGTCACGGGATCAAATCCCGGCTGTGGCGGCTGCATTTTTGATGGAAGCGGAAAGGCTGTAGGCCTGTGGGATCAGATTTGGGCGCACGTTGAAGAACCCCAGGTGGTCAAAATTTCCGGAGCCCTCCACTACGGCGTCTCTCACAATCGTACGATGGTTTTGGGATGTTAAACACCACATATCAATCAATCCAGCTTTTGTAGGTTCGAATTATCACCAATATTGTGTAGTATAAGTATTACAAATTTCCCGGTCAATACTGTGTTTGGTTTGTTAGAAAAGATACTGGTGTGCACCGGTCAGAAGTTTGCTACTCAACTAGAAGCAAGTAAGAAAAACTGCGGGGGGAGACTTCTACAGATTGGAAACCGCAAGCACTCTCATTGAGCACGCAACATTTCACAATAAATGATAGCACACTTCCTGAGATACAAAGCTTAAACTGGGGCAACCTATTTACTCTACCATACCCCCCCCCCCCCGTTAAGTAGCGTAGCAAGAGCATAACCCACCCTAATCAGTTGAAGCGGAATCGAGTTTTTCCAGGGTTCTAAAAGATAATAGAAAATTTTGTAACCAGAATTATGACGTCCGCGTTACGTAACGAATTACGATATGTCAAAAGTAACAATTTATTGATTGCGCGGCGACATGTCTTGTCCGATTTTCGAACAATAAAGACTATTGAACTCGTATGAACGAAAGGTATACGTGATGCGCAGAGATTTGAAAAGTCCGGCCGTTATCAGGGCAGCGCTCCCAGTGGAATAATGCCTAAAAATACATTTTCAGTAACATTGAGGCTTCGTCATATCTTGTGAAGGCTCACGACCCCCAAGCATTCCATTTAGGTCACGCACACAGGTTTTTCCTCGTTGATCATACTAACGCCTTTTCGTGTTCACTAATAAGAGAGATGGTGAAATGCCAGTCATCATAGATCTGGTCGGCTATGTCACTCCGTCCGCTATAGTGACCACTTTTCTGCGTAATCGACGAAGTCGCCAATGGTGAACACAAAAAACTAATGTGCGACGAATACAGCAACAGTCAAAACGTGTTTTATGTTATGTATTAGCAGACGTCGCTCATTATGTGCCATGAATAGTCAAGCGTGACAGACAAGGAATTGGAATAAAACGGACAAATACATAGTGCGTGTTCGTTTTCTTTTACGTCCTTGTCTGCCGGGGTTTCACTATTCATGGGAGCGAAACCACCAACGTGTTTTAGCATTATTTTCAGTTTGTCCCTTGAGTTGGCCTTTTCCGACTCAGTAAGGCAGACAGCTTCATTGAAGCGCCTTTCTATTTCCATATTCAAAACGTCATGCTTCCCCGCTAATAAATCGGTAAGCATGACACGTCGAACACAGGAGTAAGACGAGAGGCGTATGAATCCTTTTTTATTTATGCCTGCCTTTGATTCCTGAACCTTGGTCCAACTCTTAAGTCTTACTTACCATACGTGCTCGCTTATCAGGTATAAAGCTTCCCGTAGATGAGCACCGGGACGCGGGTTGGATTTCCGGCTAGGGTGGTGACACTTAAATATGGATGAAAGGCAACATTACATTGTGCTTAGGTTAACATGCCAGGCCGTAAAAATTAACCCAGCTGTGATGAGGTCCCCTGACGCTGCTCAGAGACGAAGTGTTGGCGAAAGCGCACAACCACGCGCAAGAGCGGTTCACCCACCTTGAAGACACTTTGGCGGACGGAAAGGCCGGAAGGACTTTGTAAACGGCACGCCTTCTGCTCCGGCGCAGCGGACGTAGTAACATGCGACAACCCGCTTGACCCTTCTCGCCCGACCGCATCAACGCCGCCGGGGCTGCTTCATCGATCTTGAAACGAGTGATCGTGCCGTTTGTTTGAAATGACTTCTTAAAGACGCTTTGTTATTTTGCTTGCTCTGTTTTTTTTTGTTTGTGTTGCTTGTGCTCGTTTTTTTTTAATATATGTTTGTATTCCATGCCTCTTATTGCTTGCTGTCCTAGCCAGCGTCTCTGACACACGACTAAACATGCTCCCCGAACCATGTTTCATAAAGCTAGATTCACATGCGAGGGCGAAATCCCGCTGCTCCGCGGACCGAATAGTCACGTGATGAGTTTCATCCGGCGCAGCAGCGGAGACGTCGCATGCACACAGCCGGAGCTACGCTCGTAACATCCTCGTGCATACTCTCGACTCCTCTGCTTGTGGAGCGCACTTGTTCCTCCTTTATTTTCTACGTGGAGCTATTTGAGACAGTACGCAGCTGGCACCAGTAAGATATTCGTATTTCCTTTAATTTATCTGTTGTGACTTGGCATTTTTGAACGTTTGAAAAAGTCCCGCCTTTTCACGTGCACCTCAAGCGCTAAGCGGCGTCTGCGTCTACATGAAACTCTGATGGTGCGCCCCCGTCACTTTTCGCAGCGTTACGAGACGCGTGCCAAAATGAACTACTAGGCGTAGTGCTACAAGTGCAGAAGCTCCGCCTCCATAGCTTTCCCTTCAGTGCCAAGAAAAGTTGTCGCCGAGTGTAAAACACGTGGCTTTTAAGCCGGCTGCCTGTTTCCTAGCCACGCCAATCCGACTAATGTTGACAGATCTGACGTTGAATGCTCTTGATCGAAAGCAGACGACCGTCAAACGGAGGGTTCGAAATAGTGGCGACACATTTCCATCCGTTCCGCAAGCGGAGGAGAGCGGGTGAAGCGAGGACGGCTTGTTTCGCCAACGCGCACGCCACGTGATGGGCCGTCCGCTGCGAAAATTCCTCCTCCATCCCCTCGTGTGAATCCACCTTGGCGTCCGCGACGGAGAATTTCTTTTTTGTTTACTAAACACCACAAGGTCGGAGCAGTGAGGTCAAAGAGAATAGCTAAGGGCTGCATAGAAAATGGACATGTTACCGCTGATCCAAGCAGGCGTAAAGCTTGGCTTGGAAAGAGCTCAGCTTAAGGCATAGGCAGAAACGCAAGTGAGGAAGGTGCGCGAGAAGAAAGCGCAAGCACACGAGTTGGAATGCAAGGCATTGGAGTTCGAACGTAAAGCTCTTATTGCTGAACACGAAGAGGTGGTCGAGCTTGAACGCGAAGCTTGTGATGCTGCAATACGCAGATAGGAGTTGGAGCTCATCAACTTTCCCCAAAACCTGCTTGTCAAAGATCCACATTCATGCAATAGGGTGATGCGCAGTAATCTTGATACTCAATCTACGTGTCTAAGATTGCATAAGTGATGTCAAGTGCGAACCACCACCGACTAATACTCGGGTGGCACCCGATTCCTCTCAGCATGTAAAAGCTAACCTGGACATTAGGTTTCGGCTGTTGCTCGTCAGTGAGCAGATCACATCTCTCTTGAAACATTTCTTCGTGAGAAAGAAATTTGAAAAGTTTACTTCCTGATTACTGTGGTTACTACAGTGAGGCAAGTTTACTGCAGGCTACCAAAAGCATGGCAGATGTCCTGAACTCGAATGAAGGCTCTGTAACTGTTGAGATAGGCACAAGTGCTTGTATATCTTTGAGCATACAACGTGCACAAAGACCGATAACAACGCCGACCTCCCTTCCTGCTATCTGGAAGGCTAGCTAGGCCAGAGGGGCTTTCCGTGAGTCAATCATGCCTGACATCAAGCATTTCTGCATAAATTAACATTGGCTTTGCGAAAAACACTGCCGAAGAAGCCCCGTTGCTCGGCGTATGTAGCGCGAAAACGTAGGGGCAGAAACAATCATGATAGAAAGGAAAAAAAAACTACAACCACCGGAAACGCATTAACGTGTCACTATTTGCACGAAGCGATTGGAGTGCACATGCTGTCCAGGCACAGGCGCCAAAGCATGGACGCTACTTCCACGCGCTTACGTGTAAGACTCAGCCTTATTTCATAACACCAGTTTTCCCATTTTGTCCTGCTTTAAAATAGTGTCTGTTTGCCTCCATTGAAATCGCGGCCAGAGCTGTTGTCGTTTTTGATTGAAGTGAAAATGTTTTGGGTCTGTTTACTTATTTCTATGTTCAAGAACCCCAGGTGGTTGAAAATACCAGGGCCCTCCACTACAGCATCTCTCATAATTATATCTTGGTTTCGGAACGTTAAACCGAAATTAAGTTATTTTAAATCTCTCCGTGACGTTGAGTTTACTCTCGTCTGTTCTGGACTGAAAGTTGTTACATTCTCTTCCTTTCTCTCTCTCTCTCTCTCTCTCTCTCTCTCTCTCTCTCTCTCTCTCTCTCTCTCTCTCTCTGTGAGCCTGTGGGTTGGTGTGTGCATGTTGGTATGTTGGTGTTTGTGTCTGTGTTTGTGTATTGGTACTCTTCTTGCAGTAGCTCTCGTTTTCTCCTTGTTGCCTTAGGGTTGGATTACCCAACATCACGATTACTGATAGCAAAATAACTCGTGAGGTTTCGCTAACTGGGGATCGGTTTTCTGTTAATAACATTTTTCGCTGCCACAGCAGGCTCACAGGAATAAAACAGTTAAGGTCACGTCTGTATACTCTCGATAGGCGACGGCAATGCAATCGCTGTTTGGTAATCCAGTCCACTTCTCTGTAAATCCAGGTATACCTCTGGGTTCACAGTAGCGTTGTTTGCCGTAAGATGTTTTATCTTTTGTGGTCACGAACGTTACACTTCTTGCACTCGGTGTGAGATTTCGGGTCGCAAATGCTCTGGTGGGTTGTTTTCGTTTCATTATGTCTGTTCCGTGGGATAAATTGGTCCTTGCTTGCCGGTTAGTCTGCAATCTGCGAGGTCAAAGCTGTGCGTATTTTTGCTCCAATCGTCCCCGCCTTGCGTTCTTAACTTCTTGTCGACGTCGATTCGCGCCATTTATAAGATAACACGGGTTGGAAAGGCAGCGTCGTGAAAACACCCTGTTCTGTCGATGCTTTCGCATAGTGAAATAATCACGAAACGGCAAGTCTAATAAGTGCCTCGCAGCTGGCATACCATGAACTAGGCTGTTATTGAGGACATAGACAAATCCCGGTACATTATGGAATACATAAATGGTGGCACTTCTACCCAATAGCAGAGGCTGTAGCAGCCCTCTTGGGCAACCACAACTGCAATGGCAACAAGTTTGATAATACGGAGGGCTTTTTTTTTTAACACGGCGTGCTCTCAAGACTTTGGGCGAGAATTCAGGCAAGCTTACGAACATTGCCATTGTAATATGCTTGCATGGCCTTGTGAGCTCTGCGTACTTCGGTTTAATAGAATAATGGTGGCCGACCAGCCCTACTTTGTGAAAACGGAGGAATTCGATAATGCCTAGAATACCCACTTTGCGGTGACTTTGTTGTGAAGGTCTCGTGCTGCTATGGGCTCCAGGTTGCTGGCTAGATTCCGGGCCACGACGGCCTCCTTCCTAAGTCCCGGTACGACCATGTATTTGGCTTACGGACATGTTAAACTCAAACGTTCAAAGTGATTCTGAGGGCCCCATCAACCCACGCACTATAATCATTTTTTTTCATGGTCTTCGCACAGACAGGTTTTGCAGTAATATGGGGACTATTACGAACAATTTGAAGCGTAATGTTTTTTTAAGCACGTGCAAAGATGTCGTACCTGTTGTTCAAGGCGCTCGTGTTAGGTCAAATGAAATTGAGTACCCTGCGCAGGCATTCGCGTGCGTGGTGTGTGTGCTCGGCCTGTCTTGGCTGGTGTTTCTGCACGCGGACCTTGCGTGGCACGATGCACGCCGCTTTCGCCGCTCTACCATGCCCTGCGGTCGAGGCAGCGTCTGTAGCGGCAGCGGCAGCACCGACGCAGAGTCCGTGGCCACCGCCGACGCGATCGACTGGAAAGGCTGCCACATGGGCCAGCCACGTGGATACACGTACCTTACGGGAAGGCACAGCGGTAGCTTCTTTCTCAAGGCCGGCATGACGGGCAAGTCTGCTTACTTTTTCTAACAAGCTCCAGTAGCTTTTCTTGCCCTTATCTTTTTTACACGCACTAAGAAAAAAATGTGTTACACTGTGCGTGAGTCCTTACTTGCCAAGTACAGTATACGACTCTCTTTATTTATTTATTTATTTATTTATTTATTTAATTATTTATTTATTTATTTATTTATTTATTTATTTATTTATTAATACTGCAACCCTAACATAGTGTTTTGGCAGGGTGGATATACGTTTGATAAATTTACAAATCGGCAAACAAATAAATATAAAACAGGTAAGGCATTTACACACTTTCAGAACGACAAAAGAACAGTGGTTTGTAATAAACCGGCATAAGAACATATAGAGAAATGAGCGCTACATTCAAGATGATCACAAGTGGAGAATGGTTACAGTGATTGAAATAAACAGGAGCACATGTCATAGAAATTAGACACTCGCTGCTAGAGCTGCGCAGCAAAAAGGTTCAAGGATGCCTGGGAAACAACTTCGTTACTAAGGTTATTCCATTCGGTAATTGTCCTAGGGAAGAACGAATACTTGAATGTGTTATTACGGGTGGAAAACGGGGTTATTCTAAAAGGCATGCCTCTGCCTTGTGGTATATCCTGTGGACAAATGAAGTATATGTGATAAGTCTAACTTAAAATAACCTTTAACTAAAAGAAAAATTTCAATCTCAATACTTTATTTCTTTGTGTAGGTGTTGGGAGGTTAGCTTTTGCTAATAAACATGTTATTGAAGTACGACCAAAACTGTTATAAATAAACCTAACAGTTCTTTTGAATTTTTTCCATTTCGCTGATATTTTTTCTGGTGTAAGGGTACCAAATTATGGATGCATAATCTAAAGTAAGTTGAACAATTGCATTAAATGCAACAAGGCGAACGGCTGGAGTGGAGTGCTTAAGAGCTCGTCTAAATTAGAATAATTTGTAATTGCACGAGCTTATTACAGTGTTAATATGTTTCGTCCAGTTAAGGTCATTCGAAATCCAAAGACCAAGGTACTTGTAGTGCTGTACCTCCTGCAAAAAAACATTATTGGCTGAATATGCAAAACGAAGAGTGTTACGTTTGTGAGAAATTTTCATGAAAACGGTCTTTTTAAAATTAACTGACATCTGCCATTTATCGCACCAACGAATGACCTTTTGAAATGCATCGTTTAAATGAATTTGATCAGTATGGTTTTCAATTTCCGAGTACAGGATGCAATCACCCGCATATAACTTAACTTTAGCTTCCTTTAAAGTAACTCTACTAACTTTTAACTAACTCTACTTTCTTTAAAGAGGCGTGTCAACTTTTCTTTGGGTCCCGTGACCCTCCAAAGAGTATAATGGTCTCCAAAGACAGTTCACATAGCCCTTTAAGGTCAGGGCTTACCGACAAAAGCAACATACTTTATTTCGTAGAGTGTATACGCCCTGTTGTCTCAGTGCATAACAGAGTTCTTGGTGTTTTAGTTCCTGTTTTGGCAATGGTATGTACATTGCAATGTCTACTTCAATGCCTTGCATATATTTATTTAGATAATGAGAACTTACGTAACTGAAGCGGCGAAAACAGAATGAAAGCCTTAAATACTTATGTTTAGTATGCAGAATACGCAGGGAAGAGACTGCTTCACGACATATGCAGACTTGCAGGGAACAAACGATTGTTCTTTATGTTTTTTTGTCCACAATTTGTCTCTATGTTTCCTTGCCCTGGTATTGTATCTTGTACGTCCGTGTAATCTTTCCTTGCTTCTTTATTTAAGAGGCTGAAAATGTGCTCGAACAAACTGCAAATGAGATATTGTATCGTTCGCTCTGTTTCTCGCCACAGTATTCTGTTGCGGCCACCTGATACACGAAGGCCTTCTTCTGGGCCAGGAGATCATTGCTTGGATGCATGCCGGCGAAGTGTGCACCGACGTCGCCCTGCTTCTGGTGCACTCGTTGAGGCCGCTCTTCTCCTTCTACCAGCTCTACTTCCTCTTCAAGTATTCGAATGTTAGTAAGGCCTCAAAACTCGCGTCTTCTCCAACCCAAAATTACAATGGTTTCGTAGTATTGCTACCACACCGAAAAACACAGCACCCAGGTGAAATTAGGTATCTTAGCGACAATACTGCTGTGTGTAAACCCGTCGTGGTGATCCAGTAGTTATTCGACGGTTGGCCCGAATTGTCACGGGATCGAATCCTGGCCGCGGCGGCTGCATTTCGATGGAGCGAAAATGCCCAGTGCCCGTGTGCTGCATAGATTAGGCGCACGTTAAAGAACCTCGGCTGCATGAAGTTGTCGAGCCCCTTCCCTACATGTTTGATAAGCATGTATGTCGTCGTTTTGGAATGTAAAACCCTAAAAAATTATCTTGCTTTCGTGCTCAAGGTATTCGGACGAAAAGAACTCATCATAACAAAGCCTGTTTTCGGGCTCGATGAAACTCAAAAGAAATCAAGCGAAACTAAAGAAATTTTCACAGAATACGTGTTTTATTATGACCAAGCAAGAGAAGACCACCATGGTACTTTTACCTATCATCATCTTCTGTGAAGGCAATTGCAAATACAAATGAAAAACAAGTCTTGTCGGCCTTGGTACAAAATAGCACGACTAATGACATAAACCATTCCAATATTTAATACCATGCGAGCGTCTTGCCCGCATACGGTAGGTTCTAATAACGGCGAGAGGCAATCAGGGATACGATGATCAAAGTCGCATCGGCAACCTGCATACATGTTAGCACAGAGAAGGCTGATACCGTGCGTGCATCTCTGTGCAAACCCCGCCCGTGCACACACCGGCGTGTTCTCTGCGCTTTTGCATAATGTAAGAAATATCATTAGCTCTTGTCAATATTAGGCGCTAATATGTCCAGGGGTCAATGACCTTGCGATGTATTTTTTTTTATTTCAAAGTTGTACTAGCCTGAGCATAGCGCGCACACAAGCTTGCTCAATTTTCAATTATTTTCGTATTTGTGCGCATCACTAATTTGGTTGGCTTTGTCTCTACAATCCAGCGCCAACATTTGAATTGAGATCACGGAAAATGTATTTTTTTTTACATCTCGGACATTTTTACTGACCCTCCTCCGTTTCACAATAGAATTAACTGAATTTTTTAACGCAGCTGTTATGGCGCATTTCGCGTGTGTGTGTGTTTTTTTTTTAATTTTTAATGTTCCCACTGTTGTAGCAATGATACGTGTCCTCCTTCACACAGTGAAACAGTACTTAAGCGAACGTTAATCAAACAAAATATTCAGTTGCCAGGATTTATTTTACCTCTCCCGCTGTAACGCCATTGAACCCTGCGCAAACGCAGACAAAATATATAGTGCAGAGCGCATTCCAGTTCTACACAGATATTTTGTCACACCGTTCAATTATATACTCGTCATACTAATCACTTGTACAACCGCATTTTCTGTATGAATTTTTTACCGTGATCTTCGCGGGAAGTTCCGCCAGCGGCGCCCTAAGAAAGCTCATCGCAAAGGCAATTATTACACGCTAATTACGGCGATTCACACCGGTGAGGAAACCCATTGACTTTGAAAATAATTATTTCATTTCATTTCATTTCATTTCATTTACCATCAGGGCCATATGGCATTATAGAGGGGAGTGGAAATATGGCTACCTATTTGCTTACGTTGAGACATGCGCCACTCAGTCTACAGAAGAGATTGCGGCAAGCGTTGTACTTTAGCTAGAACAGGAGGAGGAAGTAACGCTTGTAGCGGAAGCACCAAGAATTTCAGCTATAGAAGCGATGATGCACTTGGCAAAAATGAAGCGCATCGCTGCTCAGCAGAGTGTTGTGCCTGAAAGAGTTCATAAAAGTTGGACACAGTAACTAAACATTCATGACCCTTTCAGCTTTAAGTGCACAAGCACAGCGAAAAATTACAGCATCTTCAAAACATTCTAAAAGCCGAGAGTCGCCTAAAAATAAACAGCATCGCCAATAAAATGATGCAAAATTTATACCAACTGATTTGCTTTAGCTCCTCATAACAAGCTGCAACATAGCTCTTTCAGTTCAGTAAACTTTTATTATAACAAACTTTTTCTTGGAATTCCTTTGAAGTTCATTCAAGTGAAGTTTCGTTGTAACTATCGTAAGCCTTCATTTTATCTTGTTCGCTTTGCTGTTTCAGATCGTGATCAACCGACGGGTCACGCTGGCCAAGTTCGGAATCATGCACTGTTTTGCCACCACACTGACCTTCTGGTTCCGCACCGTCGTCAACGATGCCTACGGAGACGTTGTCAAGGCTTTCAAGGGCAAAAGTTCCAACCTTATGGCCCTGAAAATGAATGGCAGCTTCGCAGGTGCATTTGCCTATATTCATGTTGTAGAAAAGTACTGGCAGATGAGGCCTACCTTCCGCGAGCCTTTTTTCGACATCGTCAAATGCTCACGTCATACTCTCTTTGCTCTCTCCTGAATAGTCCACTTCATCCGAGTTTTCGTGGCACTCACTACATTGTTTTGCCGCTTCGTTATTTGTATTTGTTCCTTTTATCAATGAAAACTAACGCAGATATGTCAAGGAAAGTATAGCGATTGTTATTGATGCATTCTAAATGTGAAGAAATAAAACTGGACGAAAAGATAACTTGCGGTTGCAGACACAAAACCTGCGAAGCTTGTATAACGCCTCCGACGCTCTGCCAACTGAATTAAAAGGGTGGTCGCCCACCCCCTCATCTAATTTATAGGGTGTAAATTTGCATTTCAACGTGCGAGTGCCAGTCAGCGCCCCTGGTAGCCATGAGGGTAAGTGAGTAGTAGTCATTTATGCTTGTTGGCGTCGCGTAGCACGTGATCTTATTACGAGCTGGCAGCCTAATTTTGCTCTTTATATGCTACATTTGCCTCGTATATATATATATATATATATATATATATGTATATATATATATGTGTGTGTATGTATATATATATATGTGTGTATGTATATATATGTGTATGTATATATATGTGTATGTATATATATGTGTATATATAAGGGAAAGCTTGCTGTTAGTATGACGGAGGACGTGATGCGCTTTCGCGACTTAATGACAACGCCGCGCCTTGCAGAATGAGAGGTGAAAGGTCGCCCGTTTGATATATATATACAGCATTCAGTAAACTATATTCTCTCGCGCAGCATCGAACGGGTGACCTCTCGCTCCGCAGGGCGCGGCGTTTGTCATTAAGCCGCGAAAGCACACGTCCTCCATCATTCTAACGGCAAGCTGTTCATATACACCATTTACCGCAGTCGGTACGCTGATGTCGGAGGGGAGGGGGAGATGGAAGCGTGCTCTCAGCATTTCCATCGAGGCGGCGCAAAGGGCGTGCTCGGTTGCGCGCTTGTGTTCTTTGCCCTATACGGTCCGTGGTCGCCCGTGTTTGCACACATGCTTATCTCGCCGTGGGGCAGAATCGTGCGTACCTCTTGAGCTTTCACCTGAATTGTAAATACAGGGCGCACGGCGGTCACTTCACTCGCTGCAGTCTCTCAGTTCGCGAAAACAGCACGCTTTCCAACCACAGTGAAGCAACTGTGACAGTGGCTAGTTCGCACTTATTCTGTGTATACATGTGCGTATACGTTTTATGCGTCCTTTGTGTTTGAGCTGCGCGTTGAGTGTTGAGCTGTGAACGTTGTTTGCTCGTGCTCGTTCTGGGTGTGTTCTTTTTTAGTGGTCTTTCTACTTGAACCCGTTTCAATCTGGTTGCCATTGGTCGAGTGGCATTCCAATTTGTTGGTATCACATTCAGTGCTTCGCCTTTGTGGCTTAACTATGACTTTTTGGCCAAAGAAAAAAAGCGCGACTTGCATATTGACTTTTCGTTTCCCATCTATCAAGTCATTCTGCGCTGGCATTACTCAACTGTTTGGTTATGGCAGGTAGTACGCCCAGTGCATGTACTCTGTTCAAACACGCGTTTTCATCCTTATTCGTTATTATGAACTTAACCTAAAAATTAAAAAAACACAGGGCCTGTTGGTAATAACTTAGCGCTTTATATGCATGCAACGAGTTAGGTTCTCAATGAAACTCTGAAAGCTGTTAAATGTTTTATCGTTTATGAAATTTCTGCAATTCAATAACGCTCAAAATGTAGGACAACAAAGCGTCCATTTACAACCACATTTGTCCTTCCGCCTATTCTTTCCTCCTCCTCCGTCCGAAGCTCGAACCCGTGAGCAAGACAATTTTTTCATTGTGTAGAGACTTTCGTTTATGAGAAGTCCGCATGAATTTCCTTGTAGTTTTCTGATTCAAACAGGTGGTTGTCGATTGTACCCATCACAACTCTTCCACCCTCTCGCCGGATTCCGCTGAACTTATTTGCACGCAGTAACTAACATTCACGCCGGCTTTCCTAAACCACGCAGTCGCAGGGTACAAGTTGCACTACTCCGAGAGAACGCCCGAATTCGAGAGCAACTGGAGTTGCGCCGTGGCCGACCTGTTCTCGCCGGCGTACATCCGTCCAATGCCGTACCTGTACCCGTTTGCCATCGAGTTCAACCTGGTGCTGGCCGGAGTGTGGTTCATCGTCCTGCAGAACGTGGGCACGTCAGCGCACCGGTTCTGCCACCACGACTCCACCGCCGAGACCTGCAGGGCGGTCACCCAGGAGGCTGCCCAGAACAACCTCATCATCAGAGCCGACTGCCACTCGGCCAACCGTGGTCTGTTTGCCGGCTTCGTCGTACTCCTGGGCTCGGTCGTGGTCATGATCATCTTCTATGTTGCACTGCTCGAAGACAGGTGAGCTACGCTGCGTCGTTTGAAGTTTATAGCGTTCCTGTATGCAGCTACATCGGGTCAATAGAATTGCCATATTAGTTACATGGCAATCTCAGTTTCTCTGAAAGGCTTCGTTCGTTCATCCTGTTCTCGTCATATCCTTCATACAATCGTTTTCTAGTCATGTCGTCCTTGTCTACGCCCTTCTATGCATTAGACATGAATGTCAGCATCTGTAATCGTACTTCTACCGAATTGCACCGAGTGTTCTTGCAATTTGTGTTCCTAGGTTGTGATTTTTTTTCTTTTATGTTACAAATAACAAGGTAAACCTCTTTAGGACCGCATCTCTTGAAACATGTGCGCTTGTTTCAAATCGTAAAATACAACAAAGCAGTTTTTACTTCCGCAGGAATATGTTGAACTGTTCGTAATCACCAATTTTAGCTTGTTGCGGTAGCCCTCTTGTTTCACTTTACAAACACGCCCAGCGCGAAATCCAAAATTTACCAAGCACGTAGCTTATCGCAGGCCTTGCCCACTGTGTCGCTGTACACGACGTCACTAATGGCACGCTCACATTGCCCTTAATGGCTGGTTGGGACGAACAGTTGCTGCGCGCGTTGTCGTAGCCATAGCTTCTTTCAAAATAGCATGCCCCTTTGCTCCGTCCGTAGATACAATGAAACTGGAGTGGCCGTCTACCTTGGTCAAGAGGCTGTGCTCTTGGCGCTGGCGTTCGCGGCCTGCCTGCTCGCCTACGGACGCATAGCCACCCTGGATGTGAACGGCCACCCTATAACGATGCTCGACGACTTCCTGCTGTGCATTCCCATACCGTTCTACTTTGCCCATGCGACTCTGGTGGCCATCGCCGAGCTTGAAGTAGGCGGCAGCTACGTGCGCCTGGCACTGCAGGTGGGTGAGAGTTCCAGACTCTCGTAGGTGTACGATTGCGCTCCGCTTCGGCACTTCGAAATGAAGTGGAGAGAGGCCTAGTCACCCGCCTTCACCTTTCTCACGTTCCCCGCTACAAGTGTTATCTGTGTCTCTGACGTTCATCTGTATTCTGACTGATGATAATTTAATAGACTGAAGCAAATTCAACGCGATATGTTAACCTTCATCCATCATGACAGTCCAGTGGTTACGATGTTCTAACTGCTAACCCAAAAGTCGCGGAATCGAATCCTAGCTGCGGCGGTTGCATTTTTGAAGGTGAAAGCGCTTGACGACAGCGTGTGAATGAAGCAGGAGCAGTGGTGGGAGTAGTAGTGGGCGTAGGGGTGAGTGGTGGCAGCTTTGAGTAGTGACCCCTACACCTTCCCTACCTCGGACGGCCCCCGGACATCAAAATCTTGACTAATAACAGCTTGCCTATAGAAAACATGCGTTATTTTAGCTAAATTCGTCGATATATAAATTTTTAAGCGAAAGTCGTAGTGTTAGTCACCAATAATTAGCCCTCCCAGCTCTACAAGCTACACACGTCTAAGGCTCATGTACCCCACGTGGCTTGGTCGTTTAGTGGATAAATTGCCTTGCTACTAAGATTAAAGACGCGGGTTCAATTTGCAGCCATAGCGGCTGCATTTCAATGAAATATTATTGAAGGAACACACGTGTACTAAAATGTATACGCGTGTTAAAGAACTGTGGGCCGTCGAAACGAATGCAGTGCCTCGCTACGGCATGCCTCGTAATCTAATCGCAGTTTTAGCATGTAAAACCATTGCAAACAGTTAACACGTGCATACCTACACTGTTCGCCTTTGCCTGTACATCGCCGTGAAAAGTGCTTCTCCCGTTTTGTGCAGTTATTCTCGGTGATTCAAGTGGTGACGCAGACGCCGCTCATCATCGACGCCTTAAGGCGGTGCAGCAACAGCCCCACTCTGCGGTACAAGAAGCCCGGTCGGGAGATTGTGTCCTTCTTGATCGTGGTGAACATCACCATGTGGATTGTGTATACCTTCGAAAGCAAGGCCGTCGGCAAGCTGTTCACGGGCACTCGTTACTTCGGCCTGCAGTCCTGGGTGTTCGTCGAACACACCACAGTGCCTCTCATGCTCTTCTACCGGTTCCATTCATCCGTGTGCCTCGCCGACGTATGGAAATCGGCGTACGAAGTAGAGTGAACGCTCCAGTGCCGCCACATTCGGAACGAACGCTTCTCTCACCGCAGCGTGGAACCTTTGCGCCCTGTCTTACATCCTGTTGTTGCCATAGAAGGCTCAAGCATGCCGGAGAGCACGCAGTTTCTGCTTCGGGGCATCTTCAATAACGACAAATTGGCGTGGTTGTGCCCTGTGGTACCTGAGATTTTCGGTCCAAATGTTCAAGCAGACCACGAGCCAACATAGGCGACTGCATCAACAAGTTAACCTGTCCGCATGATTTATTTCTCCCTGATCTCAGCATTCTTCGACCTTTGGTCGTTTTACGCAATTCTCGTCGAGTAGCTTCACCATGGCATTTACGATCGCGTTTGTGGTAGAAAGCTAGACATCGAATGGATACGTCTGTTTACTAGAAGCCGCCATAGTAAGGACATTTTTTCCCATCTAATTTGTTGGGACCTTCGTCTTTGTGTGTCACTTTACAGAGCTCTGGCTCGTAGGTGAGTCATTAGGTTCTTGTACTGTCATTTGTCTTCAACTGCTTATCACAGCAACAATCCACGGCCAATGTACTCTGCACGAACGCTAGTAGTCCCCCATGCACCAGACTGAGTGAGGATATTCCACACCGGGAATAGATTACCAAAGCCGAATTGCGGAGCAACGCAACGCATCTGTGCCACCAAGCTGTGATACCCGCAATCTGTGATCCTCTCGTTGAATATGACTTCATCTTTTTTTTTCAAATGCCCACGAACTTCGAAATATTTCAATACTTTTTTTTTCGTTCGGACTGTCTTTTGTGTGAATTATCACCCACAGTTAATGTAATGTACATATTTACTGTCACATTCTGTGACCACACGTTGTGATAAAGCGTTTTTCTACATTTTAGATGATCACCCCTTTGTGTGCGCATTAATATCACTCACTTTTGTCTAGTATCCTGCGCAGAACCTTCCTTTTAAGGTGGCGCTCACCACGGGCTTCATTATGTTTTTTTTTTTTGTCGTTATGTCTTGATTGACGTCACTTTTTGTCCTGGCCTCCATCATGCACCTTTTACTATTTATTGGGCGTGAGAGGTTTTTAACATTATCGTTTTAGTTTTTAGAGCAAGGATTTTGTGCGAAAATAAAGTTTCAGTGAACATGTGCGCAATGTAGAGGCGTAGCTGAATCGCAACACATTTTACTCAGTCTAGCTCGCTTGTCACGTTTCTTGCTTAGTTGTGAGATCATTCGCGATGCTGAAATCAATCTCTCCAAATGTGTTTATGGGCTTCACAAGCATGGCCATGGTACAAGAGACCAGACTGAATGAATACTTAAACCATATAATTAAATTAGTTGAAGACTGCAACCAGTAGCCCAAATACTTAAGTTATTGCATTTTGTTTCGGCACATTAGATTACGAGCGTTCAACATAAAAAGACAGTGTAATCTATATACATTTGATCAATTCTCGATGATTGAGTGGTCATGTCATTAGATCTTTCTTTATTCTATGCGTCTGTGCGCCAGTTTAAGATGACGTTACGCCAACTAGCCCCAAATGCTATGTTACTTCACTTGGTATCAAGAACTATACCAAGTTCCTTGTGCACATGTAAAATATTCGCTCTTCTTTTACAGTCCCATGTGGAGAACAGCCAAGAGGGTATTTATTACACGCCTGGATGGTACAATGGTCAGTGTTCAGCTGTTGACACGAAAATCACGGGTTCGGTACTGGTCAATCCTGGCAGACGCTGGGTACAAGATTTATGGGCCTGGCAGAATATCATGTGGTGGTCGCATTTCAACGAAATTGAAATGCTTGAGGCCTGTGTGCTGTGCAATGTGAGTGACAACCACTGTACTTTGGCGTGAAAAATTGAAACTTTCCTCCGCAATACGATGCACATCATGACGATGCCGTGGTTTTGCCCGTAATAACCTAGATATTACTAACAACACACTTTATAATAAAACGTCCTCTCCATTTTTTATAATGCACCGAAACGTAGCTTATAAACTGCTGAAAGCAGCAACTATAGACCAATGTCGCAGTGTGTGGCGCAATGGTACTCGCTTGTCGCAAAAACAGTGGTTTTGGCTGGCCTTTATCTTCTCGACCGCAGGGCGACGTTGGTTAGTCAACGGAGAGAGGGGAGATATGAACGGGAGAAGGCAGGGAGGTTAACCAGACACATGCCCGGTTTGCTACCCTACGCTGGGGGAATGGGAAGGGGGGCATAAAGATGAGATATAGAGGAAAGAGAAGAGAAAGAAAAGGATTGTCAGTCAATGGGCTGACGCGTATGCAGTGGTGGCACTACAGAAAAGTTAAATATGGTCACGTAGGCCTGTAGTCCTCAAAAAGCACAAGACAGATTTAACTGCTTTTTGAGCCGACGAAAGGCGAGCACGGTGTTCCAGTAGCTTCTGCATAGACAGTGGCCTATCGTCCAATTGTTGCAATGCGTCCGAAAGCTTCTGTCATTCAGAGGCGAATCGAGGGCAATGGCATATCAGATGGTCGATATCTTCTTTGGTGAAGGAGACGTCGCATTCCGCATTGTCGGTCAATCCAATGAGGGTTGTATATGATTTTGTGAAGGCAACCCCCAACCAAAGGCGACAAAGATGTGAAGCTTCACCTCGACGGAATCCGGATAGGGGTCGAAGTTCCAGCCGAGGGTTTATTTAGTAGAGCCTCGTATGTCTTATGCTTGGGGCGTTCAATTCCAGCAGTCAGAGTACACCTGCCAAGTTACGAAGTTGCTTTGCAGCGTCAATTCTTGACAAAAGAGTCGGAAGGGTGTGCTCTTCTTGGTGCGATGTGCGATCTGCGTTGTCTGCGGAATTATTGCCACTGATCCCTTAATGGCCAGGTAGCCACTGAAACTTGGCTTCGTGTCCTGTTTCTGTGACGTGGTGGAGAAGCTTGACAACCTCGTAAGTTAGCTGTTCATGGCAACCTCGTCGAAGGACTGACTGCATGCCCTGTAGGGCCGGTTTCGAGTCGGAAAACACAGCCCACTTACTCGGTCTCAAGGATTGGATGTACTCTAGGGTGCCACGTAAAGCCGCAAGTTCTGCCGCCGTAGACGTAGTGACGTGTGACAGTTTGATTCGCAGAGTGATTCCTCTCTCTGGAATCACCACCGCACCGCCAGAACCAGATGCCGTGGTTGAACCATCGGTGTATATGTGCACGTGGTTATTGTACATTTCGTGAAGAAGGTGCAAGCTCAATTGTTTTAGCGCTGATGAAGGCAATTTTGATTTTTTTCTGTGTTCCTGGAATTGAAAGACGTACTTGCGGAAGTGTCAGGCTCCACGAATGATACACTAGTTTCTCAGCAGGCGTAAAACCTGACATAAACGACGCACGATGTGCACAGACAATTGGGCCTCTCAGTAGCGAGGGTTGCCAAGTGGTGGGAAGGATTGCCAAGTGGTGGGAAGTATGCAGCGGTGGCGCGTATGCAGCCACCGCTGCATACGCGCCAGCCGATTGGCTGACAATCCTCTTCTTTTTCTCTTTCTTTCTTTTCTCTTTCCTCTCTCTCTCATCTTTATGCCTCCCTTCCTTTTTCCCCAGCGTAGGGTAGCAAACCGGGCGTGTGCCTGGTTAACCTCCCTGCCTTCCCTCGTGTTGTTTATCCCTCCTCCTCCTCATCTCTAGCGTCACAAGCACAATCAGTCTCCCAGTTCAACTAGTTCAATTAGCCCTATCGTTCGGTTGTCAAACTGCGCTTTGGCTATGAGGATAAACAAGTATAAAATAAAAATTGGTTCCAAATCTGCATGTTACACCGCAAATGTTGTCGAAAGGCGATAGTCTTGCGTATGGAGAGAGCGAAGAAGGCATTTATTTGATGTTCTGCGCAAGAAAATTGGTGAATGGTATTCTGGAGGCACTGCGTTAGAGTGTCTCGAGCGTGAAGCGAAGGCGAACGAGTGCATCGGGTGACGTCACACGTGAAACATGAGCACATCCAGCAGTTTTCTTAGAAAACAAAGCACGTGGCTCTGATACGGATGTGCGCGCCCATCTTAGTGGTGATAAGGTGTAGAACGCAAGGCGACGGGTAGGTGCCACCACCATCTCGTCTTAGCAAAGCGTTAGAAACACTCGCCTTTCCGTGCAAGTATTGCACGGTCAGCGCAGCGTGATAAACGCTATGGTCTTTAGAATTACTTATGTATGCTTTTTCTAGTAAAATACACACATACAGAATATATATACACGTTGGTATGGTGCCTCGGATATGCGCAAGAAATCTTTTTTAATTGACAATCGCCCAAGTATGAACGCTGAAGCTTGAGCAACACAGGTGGGCGCTGCGGATGGGGTCGGCCGTTTACGAGTGAAAACATTTATTGAAGAAAAAAAAAGAGGAGAGGTGCCGCCCTTTAGAGGCTTCATCGTGGGTGGAGTCCTTATTCCGGGACCCCGTTGGTGACACTTGCTAACGTAGCCCTCTGGACCAGGGCCCTTTGGGCTTGAAGATCCGAGCAACCTCCCACTCCTCTCTGGCTGGGTTAGGGTAGGGGGGAAGAGCCAAGTTGAGCTGGCAAGCCCAAACGATGTGGTAGGCACCTGCCCACAATATTGGCACTTGCCAGTGAAGGTGGAATCGAAAAATTGCATAAGTCCCGGGCACAATAAAGTATTGGTGAAAAGTCTCAGCAACATGCGTTCATTAGCCTTCCGCAGCCCCTTTGCAGGAGGTGGGTATTGACGATGCCGATCCCTGTAATAGGTCGTAATATCCTTGAATGTCAGCAGATATCCGCCTTCGGGTCGCAGGCACTCAGGATCTAAGTGGGATGCCCGGTGAACGAGTGCTCGGGCCGCCGTGTTCGTGGCTTCATTCCCCATAAGGCCCTAGTGGCCTGGAGTTGATTGATATGTGGGGTTTAACGTCCTAAAACCACTATATGATTATGAGAGACGCCGTAGTGGAGGTCTCCGGAAATTTTGACCACCTGGGGTTCTTTAACGTGCACCAAAATCTAAGCACACGGGCCTACAACATTC